TTTTTTAAGATTCTATTTTGGGCTCTATTAGATATAGGACAACTTGAGAAAGACAGGAGTGGTGGGGACAGAGGGTGCGGGACGACATGCATCAAATGGCGTCAGGACCGGGACTCAAACCTGTGACCAGTGTGATGAAGACCATAGGCTTGGTACACGGGGTACCTGCCCCACCCTTAATATTTTTCTAATGCAAACAGGGAACTTATGAGAGGAGAAATGTGCTGGATTTCCTCAATCACTAAATAAAAGCATGCATACAGCTTCATTCCTAACAATCTGTTCATTGTACAGTCCTTTAAGATGACGGATTATTATTTTTTTATAACTCCAGGCTGTTGATGCAGCTTTCAGCAAAGGCGTGGACTCCGTGTTTCAGTCTCAGGTCCTTGAGCAAGCTGAAGTGGCTTCAGAGATGCAGCTGATCAAGGCCTCCGTGGCCTTTGGATTATATATCAAGAAGTCCTGCCCTGGTCTGAAAAGTGAAGTCCAAAGTGCAATGACTTCATTCCTTACCAGACATGTGGGCACGTGGGTTAGTCAGCAAGGTGGATGGGTAAGTGGATTTTCTTCTTTTTTTTTTTTTTAATCACTTGCACATGTCAGGACAGTTGAAAAAAATGACAATATAACAGAGAAGAGATTTAAGTTGTTTCTGATACAATGACTCATTCATTGTTATAAGGATCAATGTCACTAATGCACCCAATGAGCTTTCAAATGTATGACATCAATTTGCAAGCAGCAGACATTTAATGTGAAAAAAACAAACATTTTATACACAGAAAGGATAATGTTAATAACAGCATAACTTCACATAGAAATTGTGCCTCAGAATTGGAATACAAGTGAATCGTCTTTGGGTTTGAGTTGCCAGATTCCAGTTTCACTTCATTTAACTCATTTTCAAAGATTTAACATTCAGTGAAAGTGCTTCCTCTTTTATATTTTAAACCACCACGCCTGGTGGGATATGCACTCATGACGCAACACTACACTGTGTTGATGTCAACTTCCTGGTTCATTTCTTGTAAAATGAAACTGCAATGAACTTGTTTAACAAGACCAAACCAGATCTTAACACCTTAAAGGAATGGTATGCAACTTTTGTAGCAGATGTAGATGTCACTGCTCAATCAAAGCGCCCCTCCCTCTGTGTTCTTACAGACTGGACTGATCTCCATTCAGATATGCAGTCCCAGAGTTTTTTGGATTCGGTTATTTCTTTGAACTATTTTAGACCAAACAAAGTATTTTCTTCGGTTTGGGAATTCTGTTGTTTTCCTAGAATCGTACACCTGCGACAAAACTCTCTCACCCCTCGTGGTGGCAGAGATAATAGTTTGAGAGGGAGGGATTCATGTTAGAAACATGTTTGAGCCTCTGAGCAAAAACACACAAAACCACTGCCCCGTCAGTGAACACAGAACTGACAACAACAAACCCAGAAGGGATTTGACTTCATTATTTAAGAAAATCATTACTCAGCAAAATATATAGTTAGGATATATTCAATATTTCTATCATAATGGTTAAGATGTTGAATATTTTTACCTTTTACGTTTACGGGAAATGGCACATAAGCTTGTGTTAGATGAATTTTATTTCATTCAGGAAGACCATAATCTCTGTGAGTTAGATTGAACTTTAACCTTCCAGTCAGCTTCAAACTGTGCTGATCCAGTTTGGTAACAAAAGAAATAAAAACGAGAGAATGACTGAGGGGGAATTCTTCATCAGACGAATGCAGAGTTTCTACTGTTTCTGCACATCTGTCACAACCACAGATATAATGATTGTCAAAGCGACTTCCTAGAGTTGTAAATTCTCTGTCTAACAGTGATAAAAAAAGAAGCTGCTGTGTGTTTGGTGTCTGATAAGCTTTACACACCTCAACTCAAACTAGTAACAACAAGCCCAAACAAAGAAGAGCTGTCGTTGGCTGCAATTTCTTTTTTTTAAGAAAACTGACATGTTATAATGCTTCTTAAAGTCTTTATACAAAATGTTGTGACTTGTATCCACACATAAAGGAACCATGGATTTAATTCAAATAATTTGAAACAGAACTACTGTATATCTGCAGTCACTCATATCTCTTGTGACAGTCTGTGTATTGTGTTTCTTTCAGGATAAAGTCAAAGTTTGAAACCAAATCTTGCCACAGCAGCCTCTCTGTAATTTACATCTTCACCTACCCGAACAAGAAAATTTCACCAGATGACCTTGTGGGGCCACCATATTCACCTTCGACCTGTCTATAATCACACAGGAAGTCAGCTGATCACTGATCTTACACTAGAGTCAGCTCTCTCACTCACTTTCTCTTTTATACAATCTTGCACAAACTAAATATTTGAGTGATGTTTAAATTAGCTTAAATCACAGGTGAAGGCAATCATTGTTTTAAATCTTTGAAGTCGTTTAAACTTTCAAATCAAGAAAATTCAACTTCAGATTGACTATCATTGTCTGTGAAATAATGTGAATAATTGTTGTGCCAAGGTTGTTAGAAAGCAAACAGACACTGATATGACTGACACAAGTAACTTTCACTTTTATTCATAAACAAATGTTTTCACCAGAAATCATTCATTATTAGAGCATCACACTTCTAGATTTGTTCCCCACTACATTGATGTTTATTTAATAGTAAAAAAGAAGAAAAAACTAGATTATTTTTTAGCTAAAATTTTGTATTTCTGTGGGTTATTCTTTCGTACTAGTGAGAGTTAAAATAAATGTATAAATAATTATTTAAGTTACTTCATTTTAATTGTACCTGCCTCTGTATGTACAATTTATTGTGCCAAGTAGTGTTGTAGTCAAGACCACACTAACTGAGACCAAGACATACAGCACCCAAGACCAGAGTGCTTCGAGGCCGAGTCAAGACCAAGACCCAAGGCAGTGGAGACTGAAGCCATAAATATTTCTGAAAACACATCATCTAGTGTTCAGTGGGTGTGTCACTCACTTGGATCGTAACACTGGGAAGGTTGCAGCCATCACAGGGGGAAAAGAATTGTTCAAGGAAGAGAAAAACATTTTCTAATCACAGTAATGATGAGGAAAACATATAAGCCTTTCAGTGGTGGTCTTGACTGGTCTTGATTTAAAATCCGGAGTCTGCCCAGTCTGAGTCTGAGTAAAAATGCTTTCGATTCTTAGACGAGACTTTCAAGAAGTGGTCTCGAGACCAAGACCGATTTGGAGTACCACAACACTATTGCCAAGTGATTCTTATTTCTGCAGTGATTAAGTACAACCGTTAGACTGTTAAATCCATCTTCAAACTTTGGGATTTGTACATATCGATACTTTTTTCAATGAAGGAATGCAAATTCAGTTTTTAAATGTATTTATGGTTTTAAATACTTTTGTGTTTTATTTGAAATCTACGGGTGCTATGCTATCATGTCTCAAGCTTTCTTAACTCTGACGTTCATTTTAATGTTTTAATAAATGAAATGTTCAGATGTGCTGTCAACATACTACACGTTTGAACTGTTGGATACAACTTCTACATCTGCAGGGTTCAATCAAGAGTTAAACAACAAATCATTAAAATGTTAAATGTTATATGCAGCTTTTTTTGTGTTTAAAACTTGATTGTAATAGCACAAACATTACTTTTTTGTAATTTCTTAAAACAATTTCATTAAAAAAAAAGTGCAACTTCTAAACTGAGTTTTGTATTGTGTAACTGAAATATGACATTCAGATTCTTCTCAGATGTTTTTAAAATCACGTTTTAACAATTTATATTCATGAAACATGAATGAGTCCCCTATGCAAACAAGAACATGCCTACTAAACATCCTGTCAGAAGAAGCTGTTGAACTCTGACTTATTCACCTCCTTTAAGAAGGCTACATATACCACACTGTTGAAATACTGTTTCAGAGTCCTGCAAAAAAACAGTCCCTCCGTCTGTATCCGATGATAACTTGGGAGTAATATAACAATTTATTCCTCCATAACTGACTTAACAGTGTGTCTGATAACTTTTCTTTCAACATAGCCCAGAACCCATAGTGACCCTTCAACAATGTGATGTGTTCAGCCAACAATACTACAAAGGAATGAAGAATACAATGTAATTATAACGTTTCTTTGAGGTTAAGCAGCAAACCCTCACATCTGAAAAGCTGGAACTATGAAATGAAATTATTTTGAAAGTACTTCACTTGAGTGAAATGTATTAACTCCAATGAACTCTCTGTCACACAGGCAGAATCTAAAGACAGTACTAGAGAACACGGGCAAGTTATGGCAAAAAGAAAAATGTGCAAGGGACTATCATTTCGCACTACGTCTTCCTCACAGTCAAACAGTACAGGTACAGATTTCGCTCAAAACCAAAAATGGGAACTTTGTGCCAAAAGTACAGGTGGAGAGAAAGTGTCTTAGTATGCCACAATAAAGACACTCAGCCGCCCTTCTGCGTGGAAGATGCTCCTCGGGGGTTATGTGAGCTCTGCCTAGCTGCATGGGCTTCTCATGGTGGTGAAGTCCTCAAGCTGTTCCATTTTCTGTGCAATAACCATCCTAGTCCTATCTAAATAAGCAAAAAGTGTGCTTCGTGTTCATAGTTTTTAAACAAGTATTATTCCAAATATTCATACATCTTCATTTCTCTTTCCTTTAACATTACTGTTGAGCGGCTGTTACAAGAACATCAACCCTGATCTTATATGTTATATGAAATATTACTGCTGAAAAGTTCATAAGCAAGAAAATAAAGAAGTTATTAAGAAAATAATCAGGAATTACACAGAAGGGCTCATTGCATTTAACCCTCTGAGGTCTGAGGCTGTTTTGCTATAATTGTCATTTTACTTATATCTGACTACATCAACAATGTTTATCAAACAAGTGCCTAGTATCATTTTTTTCAGCACAACCTCACCTTTATGATTTGACCATTCATTAGTCACCTAGAGATACTGTATCAACACACAGGACCCAAACACACAAAAAAAAAAATAGAGAATTCATTTTTTTTTTAAATGTATTACTTTTTTATTCTAAAAAACACAGAGTGCTGGACGAACTGTTTTGAATTGATAAAAATGAACTTCAAATGTATAAAAATTGAAATATAAAAAGAAAATTTGGAAAATAATAATTTATTTAATTTTTACAACAACAGTAAGCTTGTACATGGGCGTTTATTGTATTCTAGCTATGCCACTGCTCCAAAAAGTCCCTGCCACTACTCAAAACTGCTCCTGGGAACTGTTTTGAGCAGTGACAAAGCTAGAACAATAATAATAATTATCAAAATAATAAATGGAAATATATAAAGGACATTTGGTATTCAAATATTTACAAAAAAAGCAGGTGTGTCCATAGGCGTTTTTGTATTTTATCTACCAAACACATTTCAAACAACAAAAACATGAGAGAAAACAAACACAAGTCAGTCTAACCTTGTCACACATGTTGGTTGACAGCATTTCCAATGTAGGTAAGACATGGCAAAATAAATTGGAATATAATATTTTCGCCATAGGAGGCTGAAATTTGGCATGGAGTTGAACAGTGTGTGTATGTGAGTGGTCTGGCTGTGTTGCCTGAGCTGTTGCAGATCTTTCCAGACGACGCTTTGCGCTTTGTCTAGCCCTCGTTGTAGGAGGAATGGATCTCCACTGAAGACTCCTCACAGGATCAACATTGATTGTTGGGTCCCTAGGCTGGTCATCTTCCTCTCTGTGGATGTAAAATGTTAAAAGCTGGTTTACAAAGAGAGCACTGAGCAAAGACATTTCATAGTAAAATGACAAAACAACAAAACATTTCCACCAAAGCAACACTTTTTCCATCAGAACATTCTACAGTACCCACCCACCCATAGCTGTTGCAGTCCTCAGCTGGTCATCTTCCTCTGTGTGGATGTTAAAGAAAAAACAATAATATAGACTGTAACTTGGACATCACAGCATTTCAGACACTTGATGTTTCCATGCAAATTATATGAATAAATACTTCAAGATCACAGACAATATGCCTGTATTTATTTCTCTTTGTCATCACTCCCAGTGTTTCCCCCGCACAGAGGCAGCAGTGGTGCAGGACAGCTACTGAATCTCCTGCACCAAAACAGAGGGCTTTGACATCGTAAGTTTAGTAAAGACACTCAAAGGCTAAATGCATATTTGCTCAAAAAAACGGCATGGGATTCAAAGGTGTGTGTGTGTTTACCTACATATCTTCTGTAAAAAAGTCTATAGTTCGACTAAATGCAATGTTCAACAAAGCAATAATATAATATTTATAATAATCACCCATAATACACTTGGAAATAACAGAACAAAAGTTTGACTCACCTTTCTTGGAGGATCGATGTTAGCTTCATCCTCTCAGGAGCTGAGGAGGAGTTTCCAGAATCTTCCTCTCCTCCAACTTGATAAAATAGGTCGCGGACTTGGTGGATGTTCACTCGTCGTTGCATTTTGATGCTTGGATGTTTTATGTTTTATGTTTCTGTTTTCTGGTTTTGCAGCTGTTACAGAGAGAAGCGCCGGGGGACAAGCTCTTTGTTTCATCCTCGTTCAGATTGGTTGTCAAAAACCACATGATACAAAGCAATGCATGCTATTGGCCTGTCCTCTTGTTTAGGTAAATCAATTCTGTTGAACAGAGCCTGCAGATTCGACACTTTTCCGTTCGTTTTATGACAAAGAAATACCAGGAAACGCAACGACCGCGCTAAATCTCAAGAAAATGTATGCGGACTAAATATATTAAAACTATCATATCTCCAGTTTTACATGACCTAGGAACGTCAAATAGGAATGGAATAGGAAATGGGAGGAAGTTTCGAGTCTGCACTTTCGTGTGATCAGATCACGTGACAGAACAGAGGCTATGAAAGAGACACACACATCAAAACGTTTTGAGAGAGCTAAATACAGGATCAGTTTACAACCACAAAAACTGTCAAAACGTGAGGAACAGGCTTTAGTAATGGAAGCAAACAAAATGGAAGCGAAAATGACCTACACCAGAAGAGACATGCAGGAGTTAATCAACATCAAGGACAGAGAAAAGGAAATTGTGGAAAAAGAACTTACAGAAAAGACCATTGAACATGACAAATTACTTACAGAAAAAAGAGAAACAAACATTAAATTCGTTCAACAGAGGAAGGAATTGAAGGACAGAGGTGAGCAAATTGCTATCCTGCAAAAGGAAAATAAGCAACTCAGAGAGTCGGGATACAATTGTCAAGACTCATCATTCACAAATTCAAGGTGAACTTAAACAATTAAAGCTGTTTTTGAGTCAAACGGAGGAAGCCCACAAGAAAGAGTTAGATAGACAGAAGAGATGATAAAGATCAAGAATTCATGCTGGCAGAGTGTAACAAAAAGATGGAGGAGGAAGTGCAAATATGCAAAGAGCAGACGAAAGATTTTGTGATCAAGATGGAGAAAGAGAAGAAAGAGAAAATGGAGCTGCTTGAAAAGTACAAAAAAAGAAGAGAAGCACTTGAATGATGTTATAACAAATCATGAAACTGTCATTGCAGGCGAGAAAGCCAGAACAGAGAAAGCAATGGACAAAAAAGTTTATACTCTAGTTTTGGGTGACAAACTAGATGTTGAGAGACAGTTAAAAGAGATGAAACAAGAACTGGACAAGAGAAACACAGTGGATCATCTCATGGATAGGCTTGACGTTTTCGAGAAAGACCAAGCAAAGGATGCAATCATAACCAAAGACATCCAAGATATGATACTCACACTTAAAAATGAAAAAGCAAAGTTAGTGAAGAAAGTGTCAGAGGAGACAAAAGAGAATGCTCTCTTTAAAGCGATAAATTATGTATCTTTGTTCATTAAGGTAAAACCTTTGTAGAATTTGCCAGTTATGCCTTTGGTACTATTTGAATCATAAGCATCAATAAATATTTGTGTTATTATAGTGGGTTCGGCTAAATTTTGTGATCTTTATTTCCTTCAGAGAAAAGTGACGAATCTGTAGGTATCTGTAAAAATCCTCTTTACCCAACTCAAGACTGACGCAGATCCTCAAAATTCTTTAGGTTTTCCTAGGAAATAAGAATAGCTACTCCTCTTTTCTTCCCCGTTCTGTGTGAGGAAAAAAAAGAATTTCTAAAGCCCATTTTCTTTAACTTCTCATGTTCTGTGTTAGACAAATGGGTTTCCTGCAAAAAAGCAACATTGAGGTTTTCTCTTTTTAGTTTTGCAGCAATTTTGCTTCTTTTGATGGGATTGTTTATACCATTCACATTCAGAGCGTTCCCAGCTCGTTGAGTCCCTGCTGTACTCCATGGCAAGAGTTCGTTAATAGACTCCACTGTGATGTCCTTGGATTTCCTCGTTGGTAGCGGTCCCACTGTGAATCCACGTCTCCTTAGATCCTCCGAGGCTTCCTCGGCACTGTTGTACGTGACCGCGCCTGAGTCAAAGTGTACGCCCATACGGGTCAGCGGTGTTTGAAAACGAATCTTCTTTTCTTTTAGTACTCGTTTAATTGGGTTTTACTCTTTTCTCTTCTTTTGCACATTCTCGGCATAGTCGTGGTCGAAAAACACTCTTTTTTTTTGAACATGAATAGATTACTTCCATGCAGCGTGGAGGACTTTCTCCTTGATATTAAACTGTAGGAACCGGACCACTGTTGAGCGCGGGGCTGCGCTCGCAGGAGGCTGGGGCCAAGTGCCCTGTGAGCTCTCTCAATTCCCAAACTCTTTTCACCGCACAGGCCCATGCTTTCCCCCAGCTCCGACAAAAAATCATGCTTTCCACAAAGCGTGACATAGAAGAGCCCTCAGTGTTTTTGGGGATGCCGTAGATCCTTATGTTGTTACGTTGGGAACGTCCTTCTAAGTCCGTTACCTTCTCCTGAAGTCGCTTTTGACTATTTAGCAGCTGAACGAGAGTGTCTTTTACTCCAATGTCCCATTCATCCTTCCCTGCCATGTTCCTCTGCATGTCTCGCAGTCGTTTAACCACTTCCTCTATCTTGCCGGTAGCGATGCTAACTTGCTGGTTCATTTCGGTAGCTAGTTCGTCAAATTTTACCTTCATGTCTTCCACAAAATGTATTCTGACCTGCGACAGTTCTTTTTTCATTTCTGATTTAAGTCCACTTAACTTCAGTCTTAAGACAAAAGTGGAATGCTTAGGTATTTGTCCGAACTTAATGAGATTGTTTTTTTTTTTTTACAAACTTGTATGTGTAGTGTTTGTTAGGACTTAAAGCTCTGAACAGATCAACCATGAAATCGTAACATGACGGAATGTCTTTTTCCCTTTATGTTTCTGCAGGTTCAGAGTGCAGCACCTCCATCTACATTTGGGGTCAAATTCCACAAGTGTGCACAGGTTGGTAAAGAAACTTATGTCAGAAGATGAAAATTGTTCTTTCTAAATTGAAATGTATGGATATGAAACTGTAAATCAACACATTGGAGACTATCCAGTATTTCATACTCTTATCACACCAACATATGTTCCTCAGGTGAAGCTCAACACTGATCCACCTCAGCTTACATTCTTCCTCCTAATTCACAACCTGGGCCAAGCTGCGGGCACCAACCTGTCTCAGGTGGCTATCAGGGACTCCATCTCTGGAATAGCAGCCCTAAAAACTGAAGGCAGAGTGGTGGAAAGAGGCTACCAGACATTTGCAATCGATACTCTGTCTGGTAAGTGTGGGAGTTCATTTTATGTTTATAATCCTACAAAACATTTCTTCAAAAATGTGTAAGTGTTTTAATTTTCTGCATGCTGCATCCACACTCAATAACAGAATATACTTTTTAACTCTTCAGCTGGATCCAAAGTAATAGTCAATTATACAGCTATTATTCAGCCAAGGTCCAGAGGCAGGTCATTGAGTGGCGTCGGGTCGAGCTGCACAAGATTTTCTCCAAGGAGCTGGAGGAGGCTACCAGGGCGAACTGGAGAAGAGTACAACCAAGAGTCTTCAGCACGATTACTTCACCTGTCAAGTAACTGAAAAATATAGTGTCAGAGTACTGTTATGACCAGCTCGTGTAGGCCCTAACATTCAAAATGGAGGGCCACAGTCAACTTGCTTCTTAAGTTTTAGTTTATTTCCGAACAACCAAAAATACAAGGGCAGAGGGAAATAAGTCCAGTCTGTCCCGAGGAAGCGACAGAAAGCTCTGGCAGCCTGGCTTGTATGCCCTTCCACTCAGGTGAAGCCCATCTGCAATCAGCAGGTAGGTGGGCGAGTCTCCCAATGACCAGCAGGCATGCCACCACCAACCACCAGATGACGCCAAACCCTGAAACACAAAACACAAGCAGTACCAGGCCAAACACCATGGCAAGGGCCATCACAGTACTGAGTTTACTATTTAAATGTTGAACAAATTCATGTTCTACCAGATTTATCTAGAATGCTGAATGTTAACTCACAAGATTTAATGATGATCCATGACAGTGTTTACAGCCACAAATGTATACGTTTGGACTGTTTCAAAAAAAGAAAGATATATTTTAAAAACATCTATCTTGTGGACAGTCGTCCCTTGCTCTGTACCACTCTAGATAGTGCTGCGAGTAGCATTTGTATGCTCTGCAGGTGTTCAGAGAGAGAGAGAGGAAGCTGTCTGCTGTTAGGTTTCACTTTAGATGTAAAGATTGGAGTATGATGTCACAAGTTACATTTAAATGTTTTAATGCTGTTATTTGATCATTTTGTGCATCTGGTTACCGCAGATGTTATGCTGCACTCTCTAAATTTGACTGCGTTATCAACAACAGCCTTTCCACACAGGCGGCTCCCCTGTTTTTATGACGTAATCACAAGTGAAACTTTTAAAGCTGGAGTTGTGTTGTTTCTGCAACTTTTATGAAAAGTACTTAATTCCAACCCCTAACATCTTAATCAAGATTACAGTAAAACATATTTTTCTAATGTACAATTTGACTTGAATGCTAGAGATGATTGATTGAGAATGATAAGATCACTTATTCACTGCATGCTCGTGTTTATATATTTTGCCATTATTACAAGTGCATACATTTTTTATTTAATAGCATTATCCAACAGGTTGTTGCTGAAGCAAAACATAAAAAAAATAAAAATAATGAGATTTGATATGAGATGTGTCCTTTCCTTTTTTTGTCCAGGATCAGCTAAAGGAGGTGCTAGATGTTGTCCTTGCTAACCAGCGCTATGTGCTATCTGAGCATCATGCACAGAGGAAGTTCTTAGTGCACAACCTTCACAGCCTCAACAGCCTGATTTCTGACGCCTTCTCCAGCACCTCCAGCAGTTTGGACAGCTGGTTCACTCACATCAGGAGGTCAGGGCCCATCGTAGTTACCAGCAATGACATCACATGGTTGGTTACCATCCATCAATAGTTGTGCTAACGTACCACAATAAGCTACTAGAGAAGTGTGAACACAAATGTTAAAAAGTTAATCTGTTTTTGTAGTATTGAACAGAAAGTAACACCAAACAGAAGTTTTTTCACTAGCTCTACCTGTAGGGCAGCCTCTTCCAATGTCTTACCTACATCTCTCCACCAGGGGGGAGCATTGTGCCTGCAGAGCAGCTA